TTTTTCAATGTCTTTGAGATAAAATCTCATTCAGTAGACCAGGCTGGCCTCACACTCATGGTCATTCTCCTGCCTCAGCTTACTGAGTGCTGAGTTGACAACTATGAGTTACCACACCTGATATTCTTTTCTTTTGGAGTTCATGGGATTTTTATTTCATTTTAGATAATAATGAAAACATTGTAAGCTGCGGTATTTTTAAACTCTTTTACTTGAGTCCTCCCTCTGCTCTGTGGTAGCTCCTCTGAATAGAGTCCCCATGTCATGTTTCGCAGCAGGGATTCCTGGAAGGAGGAGGACACAGGGATGCTGTAGATGTATAAAAAGCCAGGTGCTTAGAAATCCACCCGCAGCAGGGTTTAATATACCACTGTCCTTTGGTAAGCTGGGGATCGTGTGTGGTACTCAGGAGTACCTGGCTTCGATCCACATCAAGCATCTAGATGACAGTCAGGTGTATTATGAAGCCACATTAGAATGGAAGGGGGTGGCTGATACTGAGAAGCAGAGCAGTGATGTTAGTGTTGGAATTCCAGGCAGAAGCCAACGCTTAGGCCTTTCCCTTCATCTCTCCCCCAAGCAGAGATTCTCCCGTGAGCATCCAGGACAGGTAAATGTCCGTTCTTGTGAGATGACAGTCAATCTGATGAGTTTTGAACATCTTTGCACCTCGACCAGAGGTACAAGTCATGGGCATGTTCAGCCCATGAATACTTGTATGCGGTCCTGTGTGGATGCCTCAAAAGAGAGTTGTAGGGCGTTATGGAGTCTTCAAGGTAAGAGTTCAGCTTCCTTAGAAGTCAGGGATAAAGAGTGGGGATCTAGTTGAATTAGGCAGAGACAGGAGTGTTCCATGTGCAGGGAGGAGCTTGTGAGGAGGAAGTAAGGTATATGTGAGAATGGAGTCACTGGAGTCTGCTGGTGTCAGATGAAGCTGGGACACATGGACCATAAGACCACATTGAGTCAGCTATTTGTCATCTTCAGAGCGGGTGCAAGCCATCATGGAAGGTTCTTAAAGTTTTTTTTTTAATTAATTTTATGTGTATGAGTAGCTTGCCTGTACGCTAATGTCCCACGTGCATGTCTAGTGCCCACAGGAGCCAGAAGAGGGCATCAGATCATCTGGAACTAGAGTTATGGATGGTTACGATCCATCACATGGGTGGTGGAAATCAAGCCTGGGTCCCCTGAAAAAGCGGCCATTGCTCTTAACTGCTGAGCCATCTCTCCATCCCCAAAGGGACAGGAATGAACAAGTCTCAGTAACTCATGAACTGTAACTTCGGGGAGAAGTCCTTCAAGGATGAAGCCTGAGTTCCAGCCGTGTCTGACTGTCCAGAGTGAGGAGAGCGAGGGGGATGATGGGAGGGATGTGATGTGGGGAGCTGAAGGGAAGAAAACAGTTGCCGTTTTGGAAAGGATTTTAATTTCTAGGTATTGAACAAAGCTTCTTCATTAAATGCAGGTAAAGGGAAGGAGATTTCAAGTTGGTAACCCCTCCCCTAGCCATCAGAGAAAGGGAGCTGGCCTTGCCTGATCCCAGTAGCAAGGGAGAGCAGCGGGTTTGTTAACTTAGCCTGGGAATCGCCTCTCTGGTCTAGTATGGGGTGGTGGGAGGGGGGGTCCTAGCCTAGTTCAGTTTCTTCTAAAACTGATGTGAACTTGACCACCAAAAATGAGCAATTAGCAGGATGGGCTGACCCTCAGGCAAGTGGGGCGGATGTGGACTGTCTCGTGACCTGCTCAGGATAGGATAGAAGCGTTAGCTGTGGGGGTGATGGTGGTTAGGTCAGGTACATTTACTTGGCTGTGGTTAAAAGGAAGGTGGTTGGGGTGCTCACACCCTCTGCTTTGGCCCGAGGCGCTGGCTTTCTGACCTCTCTGCTTCCTCAGCATCATGGCTCTCATTTTGATTGATGTTGTTAATGTGGATCTTTAGCCTTCATCTGGGAGAGGTAGACTAGCGTGCCCCTTCGTGTGTATCCTTCTCATCTCTTCAGTGGACCCTCAGGTGCAGCTTGACGGAGCTGCGCTGGCTCTTGCAGGCCCACTTTCGGGAAGTCAGATTTGTAATTTTTTCTTTGCAAGGAAGGAGAGAGTGGGCGTGTGGTGTGACTGTGATGAGTTAGTGGGTGTGCAGTACGAGTGGGTGTGTGTTAGAGTTATGTCAGTACACACACATGTGTATAGCAAGTGCGTGTGTAGGTGCGTGCTGCTTGGGTAGGGGCTGGTGGAGTGAGGCAGGCCCTTGGAGTGTGAACATGGGTGTGAATAGGGGCACTCACATCTGGAAACTTCAGCAGACGTCGGGGAACTACTTCTCTCTACATTACATCTCCTTGTCCTGTGCTGTGTCCCCCTATGTGCCCCCCTCCATAACTGGAGGCTACGCTTTTGTTTCCTAGTTGTTCAGTCCGGAGTAATCACACAGAAACTTGTATTAATTACAAACCGTTTGACCTATTAGCTAAGGCTATTATTAACTAGCTCTTATAAATTAAATTAACCCATTTCTATTCTATATTTTGCCTTGAGGCTCTTGGCTTGCTACCTCACATCTTGCTTCTCATGTCTTGCGAATCCCACTACGCTGCCTTCTTTTTCTATCTCTGCTTGGATTTCCCATCTAGCAATATCCTACTCTGCCATAGGCCAAAGCAGATTCTTTATTAACTAATGGTAATAAAACATAAACGCATCATACAGAAGGGTATCCCACATTATTCCCCTCCCCGCAATTTCCTCACTGTTCCAGTATTACCAGTCCAGCAGCACCCCTCCCTAGGAAGGACGTGGGCTGGGGTACAGTAGCCAGGCACTGTGGTTAGCAGCTTCCCTTCTGGGCTGGCAGTGATTCAAGGATATGTACCTCCCCTTCCCCTCAGGCTCCTCTACAATGGATGGCCTTGCTCAGTCCTGAGGCCTTGGCCTTTACATGATTGTGGAGGAACTGAGCCTCAGAAGGTTTATGTTTCTGACTACGATGGGTTCAGGGCAGAGCAACATAGAACAGGCAGAAGAGAGTTCGTGGACACTTCCCCTGGCCTGGAGGGTGTTTGTAATTGGGCAATCATGAATGGTGTCATGCCATCCCTGGCTGCATAGGTCACTGACATATTGCTGCCCTGGCAGCTCCAGCAGAGCTCACTGGGGAGAATTGCTAACCACAGAGAAGCCATGACCGCACATTCGATCTAGGGGCTTTGTTGCCTCAGCAAGGTGCAAGGTCCTGTGCCTATAAGCCCGTGTACTTTGGTGGGCTCCCCCAGGGGCCAGACTGCAGCCGCCTGATCCGCTGCTGGAACTTCATTCTTCAGTGTGTCAACAGAAGCTGTTGGTCAATACCAGGGGAAATCCGCTTGTTCCCAGTGTCATTTGTGAAACTCTCTTGACCGGAACCAGTCCTTAGCTCCAAGTTTTGGGGAAAACTCTCTTTTATTGAAACCACGGGAATTATCTTTTGAATGTTCCTATTTTTATCAATGCAATCTTTGCTTAGGTACATAGCAAGCTATCCAAGGCTGACTCCTTAGCTAATTCTTGGATCTGTAGATGAGCTGATTCAGGGAAGTGCTGCAGTCTTGTGTGGTAGATCCGTTGGGAAACACTCTAAGAGGTGCTATGTTCCTTATGACCCACCTGTATGCATGGGTATAGACAGATACCTAGGCTGTGTTTAAAGTCATGAATAATCCAACCTTTTTTTCTGTAGAACTAATAGTCTGAGTTTATGCCCATTGGCAAACAGAAAAAGGAGACTGACTGGTATTAACCTGTTGAGAGTGGGGACTTATTTTATTTTCCTTAATTTTGCATTATTTGATTAGTTTTTAGCAAGGAATTTCATGCTTAACATTAACCTGAACGCAGTCTGGTTTGGTAGATAATTTTTAAGTATAATCAGGGGCAGGTGTGGGGTGCACGTGTGTGATTCCAACTCAGGAGGCTGAGACAGGAGAATAGGCAATTTTGAGGTCAGCCTGAGTTAGATGATAAGTCTGTCTCCAAAACCAAAGATAAATAAAAAGTACAATTGGTGGGGCATGGTGGCACACGCCTTTAATCCCAGCGTTCAGGGAGGTAGAGACAGGCGAATATCTGACAGTTCGAGGCCAGCCTGGTTTATAAAGTGAGTTCCAGGACGGCCAGGACTGCTACACAGAGAAACCCTGCTTTGGAAAAAAATTAATAAAAGTACAATTAGATTAAAAAATTTATATAAAATTTACTAGTCCATTCCTTCTCCAGTCAGGAGCTTAACAAAATGTCAGGTCTCCAATATGACTCAGTAAAATTCCAATAATTTAAAAAAAAGTAGCCAGATATAGGGCTCAGGCTGCAATCACAGCCCTTGGGAAGATGAAACAGGAGAAGTGCTGTGAGTTCAATCTAGCCTGGTCTACATAATGAGCTCCAGGCCAGCCTGGGCTACATAATAAGCTCCAGCTTAGATTTAAGAGTGAAGTTCTGTAAAAATACAAACAATAACAAAACAAAACAAAGCAAAAACAACCAAAACGGAACAACAACAAACAACTTTAAAAGTATTTATTTTTCTCTAAGTGCATTTATTTTTATTTTTTGCAAGCACTTTTATGTAAGAGAGAGGTGTGTGTGTGTTTGTGTGTTAATTTATTTGATTTTATAGATGAAGAAATTGAAGGGAGATAAGGGAAAAAGCCACCTACTGTGCCATTTAGACGTTGGCAAGAATCCCTATAAAGAGCCTTTCCTATTCAGATGCCTTCTTAGCCAACACGGGCCTTTCTACCTTAGGAGGAAGATGGAAATGGAAGCACTAATTTCTGGTTAACTTGCTTATTTGTTAAAAACTAGAAACTATTTCAAAGGAGATGCCACCCGTTGGGCTTTTAATTTCCTTTTCTGTAAAATGGCGAGATAAAGCGTGCGGCCTCAGAGTCTTTGAACTCCTGACGTTCTGTGGTTGGGGACATTGTCCCTCCCCCTCTCATTCTCTCTTTGCTTCTTCTCCACAGTACGTGGGAAGCCTGGATGTGCCGAGACCCAACAGCAGGGTGGAGATCGTGGCTGCCATGCGCAGAATCCGGGTGAGTGGCCCCTGTGTGTGACCCTGGAGTCAAGCTTCCTTGCTGCTTGCCCATTCAGCCAGAGCTGAGAGTCAGAATGGATGGCTGCACCCTTCCAGGCCCCAGAGTCCATATTCCGACACCACTGGGAGCCTATTGTGACTTGTGCAATAAGGGCCAAAGGTTGGAATGGGTGTGATGTCTGAGCAGTGCCATCCTCCCTGTCTCGTGTCTGAAAGCTCTTCCATCCGCCATGTGTGTGTGATGGTTGGCTAGGCAGTGAAGGAGAATGGTAAAAGGTTGAACAAACTTTAGTGAGCTTCTAGTAGTTGATCAGAACATTTTTAAAAGGTAATTGATTGTGGCACAGAATAGAAGGTTTGCTTGGAATTTTAAGTGGATATGAAATTTCAACAAACCTTATTTGGTTGGCTGCTTGAGGCTTCAGAATGTGTCAACCTTTTTGGGTGTTGTGCTTGCCCAACCCCCGGCCACTCTTTCCTGTATCTCCTGGGAGTGTTTGCTACACATGGCAACCCACTGCTTTCTGACTCTGCTCCATGGGACAAGGGACACCAGAACGAAAGAACTGTGCAGTTTGGTGGTGGGCTTGGGATCGCTCAGGTGTATTGTGAGTGTGTGTGGCAACTGGTGTTAGCATGGCTGGGTTGGCCATCTCCAGGTGCAGCCTGGTTTGGGTCATTGTTCTTTGGAATGATCTGTTCACCTAAGAGAAAAAACACAATAGGTACCAGAGCTTCATTTTGCTTTGGTTAGTTTTCCTTTGAGCTGGTTCTTTACCCTGTCAACAGAAGCCTCAATGCAATGACATCAGTGCTGGGGGAGTATAAACATGCTTGCCGTTGGCTTTCTGTGTGGCTCAACGATGCTCCCAGTCCCAACCTTTTCTTCTTTACCAAGGTGAATTTATTGATACTATTATTATGTACAACAGTGCTGTCTTCATGGATTTGGTAATTAGGAAACCTAAAGTACTTTGATGAGAGTAATCTGATGTTACTGAATGGTCACAGCATCAGAGGATGGTGTCATGAGAAGTCAAGGGGGCCCAGAAATGGACAAGTGGCCATTCTGTCACTTACCACTTGGTCTCATGGAAAAGTTATAAGTTTTACTCCCTCTTTGGCTGGAGATCTGCAGCACAGAGCTTCAGGCCTCCTTACTTCCTCCTTTGCCCCCCTGTATGGATAGAAGCCAAAGCCCTGAGTTGTGTTCGCTGCTGCTATGATCAAAAGACTGGGTCTGGAGCGGCCCGCACTCTGGGTGTCCACTGAAGTCCTCTTTTATTTATGTTTTACTGATGGGGAGGGAATGGCTGTTGCTGATATTACCATCATTGTGAAAGCAGTAGCTCCCCCAATAGTAACAGCTACTTCTGTGTCGGGTGAATTTTTAGATATTTTGATATTGAATATATTATTTATAGCTACTTTAGATGAGGTGAGAATATTCTTAGTACATTTCATGTATGAGGACATGGAACTTTGGCCAGGTTAAGTACTTCAGGTTAGATTGCTGTTCACAGGCAGCTTGGGTGTAGGCGGACTTTTCTTTCCTGGCTGCCAGTTCCAAATAGCCTACACGGAGACTTAATGCTAATTATAAATGCTCAGCCAATAGCTCAGGCTTGTTACTAGCTAACTCTTACAACTTAAGTTAACCCATTTATATTAATCTACATTTTACCACTTGGTGTTACCTTTCTTTCATCTTGTACATTTTCCTCTTTGTGTTTTTCTGGTGACTCCTCTTTCTCCACTCTTCTTCCCAGTGTCCTTAGTTTGGTTCTCCTGCCTCACCTTATCCTGTCCAGCTGTTGTCCAGTCAGCTTATTATTAAACCAATCACATATAGTCACACAGTATAAAGGAATATTCCACACTTAAGGGTTCATACTCAAGACTGTGCCATGGCCCCTAGCTCCCCGCTGAGGGCTCCTTAGAATGCTGATTATGAATCTTGACCCTAGTCGGGTGGAACCAAATAACTGCAACAGAAAGGGAGCCCCATGGCAGAAGCACAACTTAGGATGGGCAGAGGCATAGGAAAACATTACCTGGAAGCAGGGGCAGGCCAGACGTGGAGCAGCGCTAGCTGGTCATGGGATCTGCAGGCATCTGGGACTGGAATGTGGCAGTTTCCTCTTCTCTCATTACCTGCCAGCTCTGGCAGCCGCATGCCTCTTCTTCCAGCCCCCCTGTGTGGGAGCTGTTTCCAGTGCTTAATGACGAGCTCATTTCATTAGAAGGAGAAATTAATTGGTCAGAAAGTTGTTTGGGCTGGCTGTCCAGTTGCTTGTGTGGACTGGCTGCCATTAGAAGTAAGAGCTGTGATTGTGTGTCTTCCGCCTCAAGCCCCACAATTCACTGCTGGGTCCAGGCTGCTATTTTCTTCTTTCTCTTTGCCTTTCAAAAGCTGTTTGGGCTGTAATTACAGCTGTCAAGAACTAGGGCATGGGATTTCTGTGTAAAGGACTACAGCTGACACTGTCCTTTTATGTTGAGTGGTGCCTGGCTGATGCTGGGTCGGACACTGCAGCCTTTGGTTGCTGGTACTCTGCTGGTCTTAGAAGCCCTAGGCCTCGGGGCTTGGCCAAAGAGCAGTAGGTAGTCCTGAGATGAGAGCAGCTATTGATAAGAATCAGAGCCTCACAGGTGAGATGCCTTGCCAAGGCCTTCATTTTATTTTATTTCGTCCCATATTTTTGAGATAGGATCTCACTGTGTAGCTCAGTCTGACCTTGAATTTAAGATCTCCTTGCCTGTCTCTCGAGTGCTCAGGTACAGGTGTGGGCACCGTGCCTATCGTTGCTAAACTCTGTAGATCTCATCTCCTGGTTCTCTCTGGAGAGCTGTGTTGTGAAGTGGCTGTAAGACTGTTATGTTTCCCAAAGGATCCATTCAGGGAGTGAATGGGTCTGTCTGATGGTGTCCCTGGTCCTCTTCAGAGCTGGGGTCTAGTAGGTATGCATTCTTGCTTAGCTCCAACCTCATGCCCCAGTGTGGATGCAGTCAAATACATGTAGACTTCATCATTGACTGCCATGCTTCCTCTTCCCTCTGTTCATTTCTCATTTAGTTTTTCACCTTCTTCACAATCTTTTTCAATGTATGGTTTCGGTCATAGACATTTCCCCCCTTTTAATATGCTTCTAAGAAATGGATGGTAAAAGTGCATAGCACTAAATTCTGCTCTTCAAAGGGTTTTCAAAGGTTCAGCTTTAAGGCGGACAGTTCAGTAGTTAAATGTATTTTCACTGTTGCATCTAGGATCTCCAGTCTTTTTTTTCCTTCTTGTGAAGCTGAGATACCTTAGCCGTTAAATACAATCCTTTCTCTCCCCAGCCCTAGATGGCCATCTTTCTACCTTGTATTTCTGCAGTTTTGACTACTTTGAAGGTATCATGAGAAAGGAACCATGCAGTATTTGGCCCTTATGTTGGCATGCTGTCTTTCTTCATGGTCCATCCATATGGTATAGGGTCAGGATTTCCTTCCATCCCAAGGCCTCCTTGTATTTGTGTGGTTAGGCCACATTTTTCTTAGGTATTCATCTACTAATGGGATTTTTTTCTCTCTTGGCTTCTCTCTCTTGGCTATTGTGAAGAGTACTGAGTGTACATGGGTGTGCAAATGCCTCTTTGAGAACCTACTTTGATTTTTTTAGTCTATATACTCAGAAAAGGAATTTCTGAATATGACAAATTGAATATTTGACCTGGCATCTCATTATGGTATCTAGGCTGGTCTTGAACTTGTGGGTGTAAGTGATCCTCTTGCCTTAGCCTCCTGAGTAGCTGGGCCCATAGGCTTGCCACTGTGCCTGGCAGTAGCTCTGTTCTTGGAGGAACTTCCGCCATGCTTTCATAATGGTTTCATTTGGCCTTCCCTCCGATGATGCACAGCAATATGTGTTCTGGACATTATTAGTAAAGGGAAAAGAGGCTTAGAAGGTGTGTGTCCAGCAGGAAGATTACACCCAATTTGGGGGAGACAGGCAAGCCTTTGTGGAAGCGCACAGAGATGAGCCAGTAGTGATAAGTGCTGCTGACAGATGGCTCCTGAGACAAGGCTGTCACAGCTCCGAGAGGTCTGGTCCTGGAGGACGGGACCACATCCTGTCACAACTATCCTTTGAACTTCCAGTGTCTAACATGATGCCCAACTCTCCTGTGTCCTTTGTTCTCAGATGTCAACACCAGTCCCGACCACTTCATTGTAGTCTTCTTGGGAAAGGTACTCAGTATAGTTGAGAGGGCTCTCAACAAAGAGTAATGAGAGTTGGGCTGGAGTTTTCCCCTTGAGTTAATGTGTGACCTTGGCAAGGCCGCTGTCTGCTGTTAATCTCCGTTTTCTCGTTCATAAAAGACAGCATGCTACTTCTCATCCTGTCTCTCTGGTGCTATTGTTGGATCTGGGATAGTGCGTGAAAAAAATGCTTTCTAAACCATAAAGGGCTATTTATATTCATGGCTATCATTTTGTAGACCTTTCCTCTGGGTTTCAGAGCATTTCATACATGCAGATAAATACCCTGAGGCTTTGAGCTCCTCATCCTGCTGCTTTTAACAGCCAGCCTTGTCGGTGCTAGCGTTCCTTCCTTTGGGAAGCCATCTTGAGTGGCTCGTTCTGTCCTCTCAGGCTCCTGCCACATACCCGGTCACTGGTAGCATAGGAATGACTGCACCCCTAGTGTCCAGCACATGATCCTGGCCTCCCATTGGCCACTTTGACCACAGGTTAGGTGCATTCTGGTCCACGCTGCAAATGGCTTCCAAAATGGTGCAATATGGAATCAATGTTTCCTACCTAATGTGCCTTGATTTCCGCTAGTGTGGTTGCACAGGTGGGACATGTTGTCAGTGGCTTGATAACCAGGAACTGGCCCTGTCCTCCACCTCTCCCTGCAGTGGCCACTTTTGTTAGCTTTCCCAGAGCTTTTCTCAAGGAAAACCAAAGGATGGAAAACCATAAAAGACCATGGGTGCTTTCTTTGGGAGG